TGGCTGTTGCTAAGAATTAAAGAACCCTTTCATGGCTCAGATGGTAGCCAACAAGGATCAAATTACTATTTGGTTAAATGCTAAATTTGGTCCCTCAACTTTAGTGAGTTGCACATTTTTGGTCCTTCAACAATTTTTTGTACTTTTTTGATCCCTCAACTATACGAAATGCATTCCATTAGTCCTTCTGTCAATTTTCGCCGTTAACTCGGTCACATGGTATTTTTTATATTTTTTTATGACATGGCGAAAATAACTTAAAAAGGCACTGATTTGGACTTTTTTGACATGTCATCTTCCTTTCTCATCTTCACTCTCTGCAAAATCAATCTTCACTCCATCTGCAAAATCAATCTTCACTCCATCTGCAAAATCAATCTTAACCCATTTCTTCTTCTTCTCTAAATGCTCTCTCATCTCCACTCCTCTACAAAACCGATCTTAACCCATTTCTTCTTTTTCTTTTTTCTAAAGAAAACTTGAGAAATTGAACCCAGCTACTGGGTTTCATTGAAGCCTCAAACTTAGTAGATCTTATCAAATCAAATTAACCCTTCAATAAACAATATCAATCAAACTCTAATCAAATTCCAACAAAAATATAATCAAATTGTAAATCAACTCTCAAATTTATTAACAATTGGAAATGAAAATCGAAAGAAGAATGAAATAACATGAATCTAGCATCGAAACAATAAAGCTGGGTTCATCGAAACCTAGCTGGGTTCGGGGAAACCTAGCCTGCTGAGTCTCGTTGGAACCCAACAAGGGAGACCCAGCCAGGCTGGGTTCATCGTAGCCATCGAAATCCAGCCTAGTGGAGACCCAAGGCAAGAAAGAAAAAAAGAGAAAGAAAGAAGGGGAAGAAGAGGGATTGGGTGGGTGAGGGTAGTTAGGTAATTTTATTTTTTTTAATTTAAACTATAAATATTAATCTACAAGTTATTTTTATTTATTTATATAACATAATTAAAATATATATTATTGCCACATCATCAAAAAAATTAAAAAATAATGCCACATGAAATTATTTAACTGCCACATTATACTTAACTAACGGAAGGACCAAAATTGTGCAATTTTTAGAGTCAAGGGATAAAAACAATATAAAAAATTATTGAGGGATAAAAAATGTGCATTTGTTAAAGTTAAAGAACTAAATTTAACATTTAGCCTTACTATTTTACCCTGATTTTATTTTGGAATTAAAATAATTTTCTTCTTCCTCATAAAAATAAAGTTTCTTCTTATAACTATATGTAAATTTATTTAAATATTTTTTAATCTTTATTATGCACT